GCTAAATACACTCATACCATTGGCAGATTGTCCCTTTGACCCACTAAAATTAAGGGTGTTTAAACTTATTTTAAGGATATTTTTACTCATTTTAGGATCATTTTTGCAGTGTATTTTTTTTAAACAAGCTGATCAATCTCAAAGCTCGTGCCTAAATCCTTGGCTGTTATATAATATTCCATCTGCAAAGCAAAGGACCTGCCCACATCTATTATACGTTATTTCCTGTACTAAGCTGTCTGTCCCTGCTCTCTGCACATGTAATCAATCCAGATGTGAAAGCTACTACTCTCTCCTGCGAGGAATCTTCAACCACTTTTCTTCTGCCTCAAATTATTGTTAACTTGGCAGAATCAGATATGAAGTGGATAACTCTTTATCTCCTAACATTCTGCTTCTCTGCAACCAAAGCTGGTGAGTATTCCATGGTTTTAATCTTAAACATCAATTTAAACGTTATCTAGATTAATTCTGACAAGGGATCAGAAACCTGTATTTCCGGAGCCACAAGTAGCTCTTTAAACCTTTTTAGTGTTTTTAGTCAGAATGAAAGCAAAATTACTAGTTTTTAACCATAGATACCATAAAAATGTAGATTTCGGTAGTTTTTGCTGTTTTATTTTGGAATATTTTTCATCAAATTATCAACACCCTCTGGAAAAAATCTAAACCTAAATAAGTCATTTTTTTCTTGAAATAAGTGCATTTGTTTTTATTGAGGAGGTAAAAGAAACATTCTGCCAATGGAACCACACAATTTACACTTAAAATAAGAAAACACAATTGAGTTGTCTTATTTCAAGTGTATAATATCTAATTATCTTATTTTAAGAGTAAAATTACTCATTCCATTGGCAAACTATCTCATTTTTCTGCTCAAATTAAGAATGAATACACTTAATTTAGGACATTTTTACTAATTTCTAGATCGTTTTGCCAGTGGAGCAAGACGATTTACACCTAAAAGAAGAAAACACAATTGTATTGTCTTATTTCAAGTGCATATTATTTAATTATCTTATTTTAAGAGTAAAAATATTCATTCATTGGGCAAACTATCTCATTTACCTACTAAAATTAAGGGTAAATACACTTTATTTAAGAAATTTTTACTTATTTCTCAATTTTTTTTCCAGTGCC